CCCTGGGTGTTCCGCGCCGAGTCCCGCCCCTCCCGGCCCCGCCTACCCAGGAGACGCTGTCTGCGCGTGCGCCTCAGCCGGTGCCGCCACTTCCGCCGCCGTTCTCGCTCGGTTCCGGTTTCTTTCTCCACCTACTCCGCCGTTAGTGATCTCCCTTAATGTGACCTCCGTGCGTGCTGGGAGATTCGGGACGAGTTGTGAGCCAGTTTGCAGTCTGGGCCTCAGTCTCCGTCGCACAGAGTCAAAGTAACCCCAATGCGGAGCCAGGGTCTCTGGTCAGCCGTCAGGTGCAGCACCCGTGACCGCGGACAGAGTCGGCTTTGCCTTTACTCGGCGCCTGCCGCACCCGCGTTGTGTGCAGTCTTCACGGCCACCCCGCGAGGTAGCTGCTTTCGTATTTAAAAGTCTGAGTTTGGGAGCTGGGGGTGTGGCTCGAGCAGAGCGCTTGCCTGGCGCGTGTAGGGCTCTGTTTGACCCCAGCACCACAAAATTAATGATAAATAGGTAAATCCGGGTCTTGGAAAGATGAAGTGGCATTCTACAAAAGAGAATCGGGCTAAGAACCCAAGTCAACCTTGCTGCAAAACTGGTGGTTCGCACCCTGCGGGGATTCTTATACATTTGATGGCGGGGGGGTTGGTGGCGAGGGGGCTTGCTAGTGACTAGATAGCAAGTGAACAGGACGAGGGCATTGTAAGAGGACATTGCCTTATGAATCATATGAGAACAGAGTGTCATAAACTTTATTTACAGAACTTAGTTGTCAGTTTTATCTGCACCTTTTGCGGGCGTAGAGTTCTTCGGGGGTTAGAAAACATTTACAGGAATATGACTGCCTTATCAGTAAGGGGTGGGGGCCAGCCTTGAAGGCACATTCCTGAGTAACCAGGACATCACAGGACTCTTGTCAGCAAGCTTTATGTCCTGCTTCATAGATGCAGCGGCTCTGAGGTGTTGAATAAGTGTGACTCAGTTTCCCGTTTTAGAATGCTGTTTGGCAGGTGATTGAGGCACGTGCTGAGTCAGCAGCTGCGACTGCGCCCCCTCCCCATGAGAAGGGACGCAGACCACAACGATGGGAAGGAAGACAGCTGGGCTGGGGGAGGCAGATTGGTAGGGCATGTTGTCCGATTAAATGAGGGAAGGCACAGAGAGGCTCAACAGTCTGGGCAACAGAAAGTGTCCTTGTCATATCAGGCAAAGCATTTCTTGGGCTACATAGGGAAAACGTCTCAGAATTCAAATACGCAAGGTCCTGTAATTGCACATCCAAAAAGTGAACCAACAGAGATCTCCACAGGTATGCAAAGGTATCTGTTCACAGATGTTCTCTCAGCTTTGTTTTGATATCAAGAGGTTGGGAACAACCTATGTGCCCACCAGCTGGGGGCCTGCTTGGTTAACGATGCTACACTCGCAATTGGAATTCTGTATGAGCCTTAAAACAGAGAGGCAAATAGTAAGTCCTGATACAGAGCAATTGCAGATGCCAGGATAAAAATCAGACAAGATGTGGGCCAAGCGCAGTGGTGCACACCTGTAATCCGAGCTACTTTGGAGTCTGAAGCAGGATAAAAAGTTCAAGGTCAGCCTGGGCAGCTTAGCAAGACCTTGTCTCAAAAAGAATTTTTTAAAGAGTTGGAAATGTATGTATTTCAGTGGTAGAGTGCTTGTCTAGTGTGTGTGAGACTCTGGGTTCAATCCCTAGTACTGAACCAAACAAAAACAAAGGACAGGGCTGGGGATTTAGCTCAGTACTTTTGCTGCCTGCCTTGTAAGCAGAAGACCCTGAATTCAATCCCAGGTACCAAAACACAAAAA